TTAAGTCCTGGTATTATTATTATTATTATTATTATTATTATTATTATTATTATTATTATTATTATTACTTTATTTAGAAATTTTATATTGCCACCTACTCGTACATGGTTGCTTACAAGGATATAAAAACAGCATATAAAAGGAAGAAAAATAATAAAAAGAAAAATAATAAAATAATAACCCCCCATCCCACACAACACACATTCATACTAGCCATTGAATGGCCTTCATCCCTTTCTGGGTGATGGGCCCCCAGGCACACTGACATAACCATGTTTTTAGGGCCCTCCGAAAGAGTATTAGAGTGGGGGCCACTCTAATCTCGGGGTGGGGGATGATGTTCCAGACAGAGGGAGCCACCACGGAGAAGGCCCTTCTGAGTCCCACCAGATGTTTCTTTTTAGGGACGGGACCAAAAGTGGGCTGCTTCCAGTTCGGGCAAACCAGTAGTTCCAACCACTGGCTGGGCCCGCCCACTTGCCCTGGTGTTAGCATGTCCTATTTCTCTCTCTCTCTCTCTGGCTCTGTTCCCCACCTACAAATCCCAGCTGATTGCCGTGCCTCACCTGCTGTACTCATCATGGCTGTCTGAGAAGATTTGATGTGTGTTTGAAACCACCTGAAAACGAGGAAGGTGCGCACTTACATTTCCAGCGAACCGGTTGTTAATGTATGTGCAGCCCACCTCTGCACGGGACCCACAAAATTCCTTGTCTCCCTCCTCTAGTGGGTCAGGTAGATGCAATCAGCAAATATAAGAACAGTTCTGCTAACGTTAGAGCAGGAGATGGAACTAAATCCGCCCTCCTGTTTCCTACAATGGACCTCTGTTCAAGGTTTCTGAAAGACCCAATCTTCAACTACCATGCTTAATGTAAAACTGTGACTCCATCTTTACTTTCTATGTACTTGGTGGCCCTCTGAATTAACAGCCATCCCCATCTTCTTTAAATCTGTCTTCAATTTTTTTTACCACAAGCACCCAAAATGCTACAGGGAGTTCCCTTTCAGCGACTGTCTAAAGACGGCTGAAGTCATACTGTAAGCAGAGTTGCAGTTTCACTTACTGACTGCTTGGCTTAACAACCAAGATGCCGGTCTCAATTGCAAACGGGGACTACCTGTACTCAATGTTATCAATACAAAAGGGCACCAGATTCCCAGGGTTTCTCACTGCCCGATCTAATGATGCTGGAGAGTAGATACAGTCCTTTCTACAGGCAGAGCAGGTGTTCCATCACTGAATGTGGGTATTCTCATTTTTCAATGATAGTTGGGCAGGAGAAATTCTGCCCATCTCCATTACAATGATATGGAGGTGGGGAGGCAGAAAAGAGGTCTATTTGTGGGCTATATCTATTTAAAGTGGACTTAAACACAAGCATAACCCTTAGCCCCAACAAACTTACAGGAACCAGTCCACAGTCATAAGCAAAGTGATGTCCTCTGTTGGCAATCCGACAGACGTCAACACGATTACCATGGTCACTAGGCCCGCCTGCGGAATGCCAGCAGCTCCGATACTGGCTGCCGTGGCAGTAATGCTGTGGTGAAGAGGGCATCGGTTAGATTGGAGGAACATTAGTAAGATAGTGCCTCGCTATAGGACTCCTCAAAATCTGGCCTCGCAGATTTTGTTCGTCCTCTTCTCCAAATTGGTGTTCTGCAGGTAGTTCTGGATTATGAATCTTACAGGCCAAAGGACTGTGGAAATTACAATCTAGAAGACCACCGATAGGGCATCAGTTTGGAGAAGGCTGCATTAAAATCTGCAGTTTGCCAGCTGGGAAATAATTCTGCAGAATTATTTAGCTTGGCCTTGTTGGTCTAACTCAAGGATGAGGCAACAAATCAAGTTCTTTGACTGCTGATGTAAAATGCAGCAAGCTTTAAAAATTGAATTTTAAGATAAGATGACGTAAGGAACTGAAACAAATGCAGACGGATACTATCCATATATCCAAAATCTCATAAGGCAAATATGTACTAAACCAAGAGTCCCCAATGGTCCTGCGCAAGTGGCAGGCAAGCACACAATGCTGCATTTGTGGCATTAGGTTGCCCTTGTGAAACCATCCCCTCTGCCCACCGCCACCAGTCCACGGAGCTGGCAAAGTCTGTGCTAAGCGGCAGAACACACCTGGCAAAGCAAACCAGCATAGGTGTCAGATCCCCATAGATCCCTATCGGGGCGCTGCCAGCTGCCATTCTTGCGGGGAGGGCCTGGATGCCAGTTTACAACTTTTCCTTGTCTCTGGTCTTTACTTTGATGTACCATCCTGGGAAGGGGAGCGGGGAGGGATTGGCCTGGGGCCATCTGCTTTGTATCAGCTCGGAGGGAAGGAGCTGAGAATAGATTCTTATCACCTTCTGAGCTCCAGGTTCCCATAACAACTTCGCACCTGTGGATTGGCTCACTTTCGGACTGGACAAAGGGGAAGGGTTTCTGCAACTTTTAACCTAACTGTTTTGAGTGGGAACTTCAGATCCTGCCTTGCTCTCCTTGCTATCGCTATCTCCCCATAAAAGTTCACTTTGAAATGATGCCAGTTTTAAGAGTTTTGCTTTCTTGAGGAGGGGAGAGGCAAGTCCTTACAGGTAGTTTATCACCTACGTGCGTCTGTACATACCTAATAGTAATGATCTGACCGAAGTCAAGCTGGTAGTTGTTGACCTGGGCAATGAAGATGGCTGCCAGAGCTTCATAAAGTGCAGTGCCATCCATGTTGATAGTTGCTCCCACCGGCAGAACAAACCTGGTAACTCGTTTATCCACCCTGTTGTTTTCCTCCAGGCAACGGAATGTGACAGGGAGTGTGGCTGAGCTGGAAGCAAAACATCTCATAACTTGCGAACAAGGCCAAAAGGGACCTAAGATGCCCCCTCTCAGCCTAATTCAAACACAAAGCTTAAAACCGACGCAAAGCAGGTATCTGAATACCTGCTCCAACATTGGATTTGCCTGCTTTTTGTGATCTCTCTGAGAGACTCTGCTCAAATCAGTGCAAACTGGGCCTGATATAAGAGAACATTTGTTGCTCAGAGTTGAAGTGTGTGCGGCCCTTGGTGCTTTCTGAGCTTGGTTGTTTCCTTGCAAACTCCGCTCCCTTCTAGCTACTGATGATATTACCTAGTTGGGTAATGAAATGTCTGCAAGAAAACCACCAAACACAAAGAATACCAAGGACCTCCACAACCTGGCTTTTTTGATGTGGCACCTTACACTCACCTGGTGCTTACTAGGGCCTTCCTCCCCCCCCCCCCCCGCCCCTAACAGCTAACTATGGCACAAACATATTGTGGCAGCCTCTTTTTTCAGACCCATCGCTATGAATGAATTCAAATTTATTCCTAGCCCATGAGTGAAACGGGCATGAACCGAACTGGATTTCAATTAGTTTTTCCTCCTTCCAGCATTGTCCAATAATGGTTTTAAGATATTTAAAATGTTTTACATGATCATCCATTTCCTTGGAAGAACTTCAGAAAACTGTCAATGATTGCAAGGAGAGGAAAGATGAACAAGCAAATTTCACATCCATATGTCTATTTTTGCCAATTCATAGAAGAATGGATAATACTACACTTTTGCAACAAAGAAAGGCCCCTACACCAGTTTTTCTCAATCCTGACAACTTTAAGCTGTGTGGACCTCCTGCTGGCTGAGGAATTCTGGGAACTGAAGTCCACACAGCCTGAAGTTGCCAAATTTGAGAAACCCTGCCCTAGACTGACCATTTTAGTTCAGATCAAAAACATGTAAACCTCCAAATGTTTTTGATGGACGGTAGATTTTAACCTTGCTATTTTTTCTACTTCTAATGCCATGTTCTGCTATTTTATGTTACATTTTTCATTTGTCCGTATTTATGACTGAATGTTAATTACCATATTTTGCTAGTGTGCCTGTGGCTGTTTTAATCAATGATAGCAAGTATGGAAAATTTTCCTAGAAGATTTCTTAGAAGATGGCAGAAGCCATTTTAAAATTAACAGAAAAAATAATCAGAAAAGTTCTTAACCTGAATGAAGAATCTTTCATGGCCTTTTAGGAGGCCTTTTATGTCACAATCGTATAGTCTCTCATACAAGCAGGAATGCAATTTGCTTGGGATGAAATTTGAGTAGAGTGGCTAAACAGTTTCAAGAATATTATATTCATTTATTCATTATTCCCATGTATATGGCTGGCTGTCTCTCAAATGACTCTATGGAGCAAACAAGATTCAAAACAATTTACCGAAGGAACAGTAACTTTGAATTGTGTGGGTGTCTTTATTTTATTCCTGATTTTTGTCATTCTTTTAATGTTGTTTTTTTTGTATTTTTTTCCAGGTTTAAATGTTTTTACTTGTGAATTGCTCAGAGTCATTGGAGATTGGGCAGCATACAAATTGAAATAATAGCAACAATGTTACAGACATAAACCCAACTGATAAAAAAAAGCCAACATTAACAATTAATTCCTTTAATTAATTGTGATTGTTGGAGCAAATCAAGGCTTACCAGTGGCTTCCAAAGGAAAGAAAAGCTTTTTCTCTCTCTATACTTCCAAGCCAATATCCTTAACTCCTGCTTCTCCCCATCTTGTTAAGAGCTGCTTCTTCCAACTGTGAACAACAAAAGGGCCTGGCAACTAATCCGACACACAACACACATACACGGCTTGTGACTTAAGATCCCCAATCTGTTGGCTTGGCTGGGAGCTACATTTTCCAACAGCGAGTTCCAAAAAGGCTTGGAAACAACACACACACACACAGTCTCCTGGGAGCGGTCCCCAGATGGCTTGCCTGCCTGTCCCATTCCTTTGCGAGAGACCATCACCTGGAAGACGTTCCCAAGGCCGTAACGAGGGCTTGTAGGAGGCCAGCCATGAAGATCCAGGGGTTTTTGCGTGTGACAATGAAGTAGATGAGTGGGAGGACACAGAGGCCATGGATCAGGAGTCCCACAATAACTGTGAGTGTGTATAGGCCTAATTGGCCTCCCATCACTGCCAGGTCCTCCATCTCCAAAATCTTACCAGCGATCAGAAAAAGGATCCCAATAGGGGCGTACCTGTTGTGAAACATGTCAAAATAGTGCTCAACTCAGCTCTGAGCCAACATGGAAAACAGACAATGTTTTATGTTTTCAGGAAAGAAGGTTGACAATTTACTAGTTTTTCGTGCTGAAGGATCTCAAAGTTCTCCCAAAGACAATTTTTCCAAAATGTAACTGGACTTTGGGTTCCCCCCCCCCTTTGAAAACATTTGCGGACAAACCTAAATCAAGCTTCTAAGGATCAGAACTCATTGTAATCGCCTGGGTGATCAGCAAATGCTGATTTAGTTAAGGCAATTTAAATGCTGAAATTGAAAAAAAATCCTGCCAGTTAAAAAGTTTCAGATTTGCTGAATTCCAAAATTGTCAAGCAACCTTATTGGTCATCAAGCAATTCTGCTAAAACAGATAAATTTACAGTAATTAGCATACTTTAAGAAAAAAAAAAGATTAGTCATTATCACCCAGGTTTCCCAATCTGGTGCCTTTCAGATGTATTGATTCTACAATTCCAACAAGGCTTGGTCAACTAATCTATGAGGTTGAGGGATTCCATCCCAGTGCCTCTTGGCTTTTAGTTCTCGTTAATTCTCATTAATTTTAATTGTTTTCATGTTTTTAAAATCATTTTGTAAGCCACCCAGAGTTACTTCAACAGTGAGATGGGCAGCATATAAATTTAATAAATGAAACAAACTAATGGACTAGCCCCGCGATGGCAAACCTATGGCATTCATGCCTGAGCTGGCACACAGAGCCCTCTCTGCTGGCACGCGCACCTTCACTCCAGGTCAGATCTCCATGGCGTTTCTTTTGTGAGCTTCTGTTTCCCTGCAAACGACGAAACAGAAGCTCACGAAAGAAAAAGATCTTACCTCTTGCTGCGCTGCCAGGGTTGGGATGCCCTGCTTCCCGCCAGCCAGCCAGTTTTCAGCAGTGGTGAAATCCTCTGAAATCTGCTACCGGTTCTGTGAGTCTGCTACTGAGTGTGTGTGTGTGTATGCGTCCCTGTGCCGCACCCACGGAATGCTAAAAAAGGAACATTTTGAAACCTGCCGAGTCTGCAAAGGTAAGGAGAACAGCCGGGGGGGGGGGGGAATCCACTGTGCCACGCGATTTAGATTAGCTAGAAAGCAGAAAAACTGACGATTGTAGCTATCGTATTCTTTGGAGTATAAGACGCACCTTTTTCCCTCAAAAAAGAGGCTGAAAACATGGGTGCGTCTTATACACTGAATACAGCATTTTTTGCCTCCCCAAACCCCGCCCCTTCACCAAAATGGCCGTGCAGAGCCTTTAGGAGGCTTCCAGAGTGCTCCTGGGGGCTGGGGAGGGCCGAAATGAGCAAAAAATGGGCTGTTATAGAGGAGCACTCTATAAACCTCGTAAAGGCTATCCATGCCCTTTTTTGGACAAAAAACGGGCCTGTTTTTTGCGAAAAACGTGTCGTTTTTGGGAGGTCTGCAGAGCGCAAAAACGTTTTTTTTAATTTGCCTCTTCAAAACCTTGGTGCGTCTTATACTCTGAAAAATACAGTAATATAAATCACGCGTCACAGCTGATCGTTGGAAATACCGGTTCGCCTGAACCGGTAGCATTTTTTACTATCGGTTTGGGTGAACTGGTCCGAACCGATAACATTTCACCCCTGGTCTTTGGGTCTCTGCTGCGCATGCCTATGCACATGTCACTGCATGTGCGTGTTTGTGTGTGCACGCACGCACACCTTTCAGTTTGGGTATGCTCACACACGCAGTTTGGGCACTTGGTGTCTAAAAGGTTCGCCAACACTGGACTAGCCTAACAGCTAAAAATCCTGAGTTGTAATCCCAAAACATGTGGAAGACACCAGGCTTGGGAAGGTCCTTCATTGTTTATGGATAATTCAATTCTTCCTGTCCATCAAACTAAGGGTATCAAACAGCCTTTGATACTTTAAGGGGAAACTCCTAAGTAAGGCATGAAGGCATAAATAGCACTCTTTCATTTGTCCTTCAGCAAACTGTATTCTGAGAAAATTTATTTGCAAACTGCCAGTTGCTAATCTAAGAAGACACCTCCTGCATCAATGATTGAATTTATTGCAGTTTTAGAATCTGCCTAGAGAACTCTTGTTAGTGGTAGGATTAAAACTGCAATAAATACAGGTGGTCCTCGACTTACCACAGTTTGTTTAGTGACCGTTCGAAGTTACAACCGCACTGAAAAAAGTGACTTATGAACGTTTTTCAGTTATGACCATTGCAGCATTCCCTTGGTCACGTGATCAAAATTCACCCACTTGGCAACTGACTCATATTTGTGACGGCTGCAGTGTCATGTAAGTCGCCTTTTACGACTGTCTGACAAGCAGAGTCAATGGGGAAGCCAGATTCATTTAACAACCAGGTTACTAACTTGAGAGCTGCAGTGATTCACCTAACAACCGTGGCAAGGAAGGTCATCAAAATGGGGCAAAGCTCACTTAACCATCGCCTCATTTAACAACATAAATTTGTGGGCTCAACTGTGGTCGTAAGTCGAGGACCGCCTGTACATTACATATAGAATACTTGGGAAATTTTCTGACCTTACGCTGATCCTATCCTTGCCTAGGTTTAACCACATTAGCACAGAGTAATCTGTAAAAGCATCTCTTTGCTTTTTTAAAGACATCACAGCCTGCTCGGCCTAGGAGGGACCCTCTCCTCACCATATGATGACCGCCACCATCCGCAAGATGGCTTCATTGAGGCAGTCAAAAAACTCCCGCAGGGGGTGTCCCTTTTGCTTCATGTTGCCAATCACCAGGCCAAAGCAGATGGAGAAGACAACGAGGCCAAGGGCGTTCACCCCGTTGACAGAACCTGGGCCGGGGATGACCTCCTCAAAGTTCAGCACTTCCGGGAAGCTCCCTAGAGCTTTAGTGACATTATTCCAGACTCCCAAAGCATTTTCAAGTGGCAGGAGAGGCAAAGTGGCCATGGTGGCATTGTAGTTGAAACCGCTGCTGTTGGTATCCTGGTTTGGGTGCTGTGGCAACATGGCCGCAGAAGAAGTGTTGCTCACAACCGTTCTGTTGATAACCCGGACACTGTATTGAGTCTTATACTGGAAGGGAAGCAGAAGGAAGGATCAGCTCGGGCTCTTATGAGAGAAACAACATCCAAATGAGCAACTCTCACAAACTCTGCAGACGAGAAAGGTCTCGAGTGGTGAACAGGTCAGTCATCAAACCATCTGAAATGAACAGGGAATGCTTGAGCCACAATTTCCCCATTGACTAACTTACCTGGGAGCTGTAGCATACACTGTTTACATGAAAAGACAGTTTTGGTCATATGCTGAAGTGTTGATTATTAACATTGCTGTAGTGTTTGGTTTTAGCTTTAGTTACAAAAGTTGAGGGCTACTCAGAGTTGGTCACAATAAGCAAATTCCCAATTAGGATCTTCAACTCTTCTTACCTGTCTAAAGCAGGCTTCTACAAGATTGGGTGGAAACATATTCCTACAAGAGACAAAAGCACAAGGGTATCAATGTCCCTGCGGCATCAGTTTGATGATTTTTAAGATGCTGGGTTGTGGCTTTATCACCATACGAAGACCTCTGAACCCAAACTCTCCTGACTGAGTTAGGAATTTCACTAACAGGGATCAAAGAGTTCAGTTGGACAAATCTAGCATAAGAAAGCACTGCTCACTTCCTGCTGGAGAACATTAGCTGAGGAAGCACTAGAAAATTACTTCCTGGGTCACCTTGCCACTTCCGTCACATTGCAATGTTAACAAATGAATGACAGTTTCCCCTTCCAACCATTCCCCTTCCAACCATTCCCCTTCCAACCATTCCCTTGGTGGCGCAGTGGTTAGAGTGCAGTACTTCTGCTGACTGCCGGCTGCCTGCAATTTGGTAGTTCAAATCCCACCAGGCTCAAGGTTGACTCAGCCTTCCGTCCTTCCGAGGTGGGTAAAATGAGGACCCAGATTGTTGGAGACAATAGGCTGACTTTGAATTGCTTAGAGGGGTCTGTAAAGCACTGTGAAGCGGTATAATACGTCTAAGTGCCATTGCTATTGCTATTTTATATTTTCCATAACCAGCCCATTATCAGAAGATTCTGCCCTGGCTTAAAATTGCTCACCGGATGAGGTCCATGAAAGCATCAGTTGCATGGACCTGGTCATATTTGTTCTCCCCTTGGAGACCTTTCTTGCTCCCTTTTCCTGGATGGATGACGAGGACCATAAAGATTCCAATGAAGACGGCGATGATGGTTGTCATCATATAGTAAACGACAGCACGCAACCCCATCTTGCCAGAAGCACTGCTGTCCAAGGATGCCATGCCTGAGAAGGGAGGAGAGGTCATAATTCAGCAATGGAAGATCACAGGAGACCTTATTCCCAGCCATCTCCAGAATTGCCTTGGAAATTGGACGCTTCATCAGATGGACTTCTTGGTCAAACCCAGGGCTGCATTTTTATGTCCTGACTAGAGATGGAAATGCCTGGAAAAACTGTGGAAAAATTGGAAAAAAAAAACCCAGGTTTTTTTCCATTTTTTTTCCAAAGCCGTTTGGGGAAAAAAAAAAACAGGAAAAAAACCTGTTTTTCCCCCCAAAATTTACTGGGTTTTTTTCCCAGGCTTTCCCATCTCTAGTCCTGGCATGATCTGTTCAGTAGAAAGATGGAAACTAGAGAAGGTAACTTAGTTAGTCCCAAAAGTGCTTTTTCAAGAGGCAACTGGACTTTTTGTTTTTTCTTTGAAGACGTTTCATTTCTCATCCAAGAAGTTTCTTCAGATGCCTCTTGAAAAGCTTCTTTGGAACAACCATGATCTGAATGACTGAGATTCTCCACAGACATGTTCCTTACTAGGTTTGCTCCCTGCACGCACCCCCCAAAAAAGAAACGGACAATTGCTAATCCCCAAAAGATAAAATTGCAACCGGAAAAGAGAGGGCTTGTCTAGCTGTCCTTGAAAAGAGGTGGATCAGAACAGTAAGTTCAACGGTAAATGTGTCCTGCCCTTCTAGGTGTTCCGGGAACCATTCATCCTTCTCCCAAAATTAAGCAACTGTATTGAGATAATGCGCCTCTGAAAATGGTGGCTCCCACCCCTGCTGTAGCACCAGATTGCCAGAAGCTGGACAGCACTTTGATGATCTGATCTGATTTCAAGACAATGATCTCAGTTAACCTGCTCATTCACCTGTGATAAGGCTAGAGACGATTAGTGGAAGAACCAACATCTGCAGCATTCGCATCAACAGCTCTCCAGGAAAGGAGAAGTACTTGATCTGGCGATAGGTCATCCGATACGGCCGCAGGGCGAGGGCCAGAGTAATCCCTGTGAGACACAAGGCCAAGAAGGGGAAATGTTACAATTCCACTCCTGACAAAGAACAGGAATTGTTCGGACATCAGTTGTTTTCAGTTTATTTACCTGCCCTGATATCCCATCTTTTCTCTGGGTGTTGAAGTCTGTAGACTTAGTCTGGTCCACCAGACCTAGAGACCCAACATGTGATGGCCTCATTAGAGGCCGCCTTCCCAAAGCAAGGTGGCTTTCCCACTGCTAACGTTTGTCTCAGTTTGCATTGACTGACATTCTAGATCAGTGTTTCTCAATCTTGGCAACTTGAAGTTGGGTGGACTTCAACTCCCAGAATTCCCCAACCAATCTAATATGCTTATTAACCAAATGGAGATCAGAACAGAAAATGCTTCTTATCACCCCATCAGTAAATGGAACTGAAGATGGATATTTCCGGGGTGGGACTCAGCCGGTTCGCACCGGTTTGGGCGAAATGGATATTAATTTTACATCCGGTTCGCTGAACCGGTTGTTGCAAGGACTGTCTGGCCCCGCCACCACCCCTCGCCTCCCCTCCCCGGAATCTCCACACGGCCCATTCATCATGCCAGGTAAGTGCAAAGTCTGCGCAAAGGCTCAGGAAGGGCAAAAAACGGGCCTGCCGGAAGTTCTGGAAACAAGCCTGTTTCTGGCTTCCAGAGGACCTCCGGAAACTGGGTGAGGCAATTTTTGTCCTCCTGGAGGCTCAAGGAAGCCTCTGCAGCCTGGGGAGGGCGAAAAACGGGCCTATCGGAAGTACCAGAAGTCCAAAAACAGGCCTGTTTCTGGCCTTCGGAGCCTGTGAAGGGAAAAACACACACACCCCTCCGTGGTGCAGGAGGCCGAGTAAGCGATGCCCACCATGGCCATGCCCGCCTAGCAACCGAGCAGAGAACCAGTTGCTAACATTTTTCAATCCCACACCTGGATATTTCCCTGTTTATCACTTTTGGTTGTACGAATTGGCCTCAACAAGTATCAAATATTACTCGGTCTTATTGTGAGTTCTTTTACGGACAACCCCCCCCCCCAATAATGTATAGGAAAAGTGTCTCTATTATGAAAATAATAGAGACACCTTCTTAGAAGTTGTGTCAAAGCAGATTTTTAAAAAGCAGCACACATAGCATGGCCCTGAATTCAGTGATTTGTTTAACCATGAATGCCAAATAAATCAGAGTGGCTTGTGCACATTTTAATGCACAAGCCAAGCAGACTACATTAATATATGACCCAAGCAGTGTAATTCCAGCAATCTTGTCTGTAAGCAATCCAAAACATGCCTGTAAATTGGGTTTGCCCACCCCTTTGGGGAAATAACTCTCACTTCCAATTAAAATGGAACTGCACATTCCCAGTGTATCTGGAACACATGAGATTTGGGATGCCTGAACTACATTCTTGTCCACACTTCACTATTTCAATTAATTCCACATCCTCTCTGTCTACAACACTACTGTGTACAATGAACCGCATTTAATAAGAGTGAAGAAAGACTATTAAGTGTAACACTTTATATCACATATATCAAAGAAGGAAGGAAGGAAGGAAGGAAGGAAGGAAGGAAGGAAGGAAGGAAGGAAGGAAGCAAGCAAGCAATAGCAGTAGACTTATATACCGCTTCCGGAAGGAAAGGAAAGGAAGAAAGAAAGAAAGAAAGAAAGAAAGAAAGAAAGAAAGAAAGAAAGAAAGAAAGAAAGAAAGAAAGAAAGAAAGGAGAAAGATTAATCTGTTCACTTCTAGCTGCTTTTGCTTTTAAGAGTTTTTCTTTTTTTCTTTTAAATTAGAAATCTGAAAGAACAGAATTGTTGGCCTGATTTCAATCAACATTCCAGCCATGTCAAACTGAACTCACTCATGACTATTTAATTTACTT